AAAGGGCAGATAACTCTATCTGCATAAAAGGAACTCTTTAGTGTGCAGTGTATAGAGGGCTCTTAACCCTTATGAACCACATGGATTGAAGGAAAAGTTTGTTTCTTTGCCAGTGGATGTCAATATGCCAAATGATGGTTCTGATTTTACCATATGATACATCACAGATTCCAACTTCAAACATCTAACTTTGATAAAGAATACCGATAGAGCTGATTGCAACGAACTTACAAACTAACAAAACATGCGTGCCCGAACTTTACGAGGTGTGCTGCACGGTGCAGCACACCATTATTTCATTGCACCATTTTTCAACAGTATGTGCATATGGCAAGACCCCTTCCCAGGCCCTGGAGCATTGATACATTTTTCCATTTATTTTATTGGTAAAAGACTAATTGCAGATTTAACATGAATCTCAATTTCTTTTGTGGATGGAGGCTTCAGCAAAAAAAATTGGACAGAATACTTTGCATCAATACATTGCATTGATGTAGTTTTCTCCTTATTTTTCTGTTGATTACTCTATCCACAAAAAAAGATGGTGAACGGAAAAAGGGGGTAACATCATCTGTCCCAACCAATTTCATTGATTTTTTGACCTATTAAAATAATTCCAAAGATCAGTACATGTACCTTTTTCAAATTCCCTTGGTTCATGGCCAGCAGACACTCTACCCCCCCCCCCCCCCCCAAAAAAAAAAAAAGAGCGGTTACTTTTATCTGTAACAAACAAATGATTTTAATCACAAAATTCATTTTCTATCTCATCAATAGATGCAACAGAAAAGCTGAACACGGCTCGTAAATAGGCAGATGCCATAAAAGTTTTCCTATCTCCTATATCAGCACTGGGGTATATAAACCCTTCTCAATTGTTACATCTGATGCTTCTAGCTGATTGCAGCAAGTGTACAACAAGTATATCTCACATCGTCCTTCTTGTTCACATTTTATTTCATTGAAAATGTGTTTATTTCACTTTATAATGCATTGACCTGTGCAGTTGATATTGTATATATTTTGATAACTTTTTTCCTGGCTTACACATAAAATGTGCCAATATTAAAGGGTCGACGTGTAATCAATAGATCAAACTCGTGCCGTTGAGTTTGAAAAGATAAAACATTTCACACCTTGAAGGCTATAATCAGACTAATATATAATATGAATAAGTCACAAATGTAAATATAAGTAACAAGGTATCATTTTAAAACATCTATCGGGATATAAATACGGGTTGGTACGAGATCAAATTTACCATAAAGCCCTTCGGAGTTTTATGGAATTTGATCTCATGACCAACCCGTATTTATATCCAGATAGATGTTTAAAAATGATACCTTATTTCTTTATATATATATATATATATATATATATATATATATATATATATATATATATATATATATATATATATATATATATATATATATATATACGTTGATAAGTTAAATTCTTGGTACAGTAAAAAATACTTAAATAAATGAAAACAGAATGCTACAGTCCAAATTAAATAAAATCTTTACTGTTAGCGCTTTCAGCCATGTTGGCTCTTCAGACAGTTATGAAAAGTTCAAAACGTTGCCAATAACGTTGCTAATGACGTCGTAAAAATCTTAGGTATTATGACGTCACAATGAAGTTTGTGGTAGCGGCTACATGAACTTTTTCAACGCAGTTAAAATACAATGTATAATTAAAGCATAGAAATAATATAAAATCTGTGAACACATAATCTATCATTTGCGATTTAGTTTTGGATTAAACAGTCTTATAAAATAGTCCTCTTTGGTTACACGGGCGCTTTCATCCGATGTCCACATTTTGTAGAACGGGAAAATCTTAAATTTTCCTTTACCACACTCAGCAAAATGTTCTGAACATGGGGTGCATCTGACAGTTTCGTCCCTTATATGTTGTTTGTGAACCCTAACTCGTGCGTTGAGTTGATTTGTCTGCCCTATATAATGTTCTCCACAGGTAGGGCATATTGCACAGTAAATCAAATTTGAAGATTTACAATTCATACTGGTATTTGGTTTTAAAATTTTCCCGTTTTTAAGTGTAATATGTTCGCCCTCCTGAATGAAATCACACGTTCCACATCGGGGGTCACCACACTTTTTGACGACTCTCTGGTTGCTAGAGGAAAATTTCGCTTTGGTTAAAATCCGCCTCAGGTTTGGTGCTTGTCTTCTGCTGTTAATTATTGACGATTTGTCCAGAAGATTTTTCATGTTTTCAGATTGTTCTTATATTGGAAAAAATCGTTTCGCTGAATTTAGAATATTGTGGTTACGTGGGTTATGAGTTATCACAAATGGGATGTTCTCTACGTCGTTTTCCTCTGGATGGCGACTTTTTCTTAATTTGGTTATTGGTATGTCTTTTGCCCGGTTGATTCCGTCCTCAATAAGGTTTATTGGATAGTTTTGTCGCCTCAGGTGTTGTTTTAATTCTTGGAGTCTTTTCAAGCGTAGAGTAGGCTCGGTCACAATGGCACAAATACGTCTGGCCATATTGTAAGGAATGTTCCTTTTTGTATGTGACGGATGGCAGGAACGAAAGTCCAAGTATTGGTGAGTATCTGTTTCTTTACAGAATAGGTCTGTAGAAATATCTTCTCCGTTTTTTATTATGAGTATATCTAGAAAAGGAAGTGAATCACGATTCATGTCATTTGTGAAATTAATTGAATCGTGTAATTCATTAATGACCGAATGGAATTTTCTAAGATCCTCTTCACTCCTTGTCCAAAAGATGAAGCAATCATCCAAGTACCTTTTCCAATTCTCTTTAATGTACTGCGTAAAGTCCAGATCAAAGGTTTCCGGTAAAATAGTGTAAAGTTTTTCTTCTAGAAATCCCATAACTAAACAAGCATATGTAGGGGCGATTTTGGTGCCCATGGCAGTACCTTTGATTTGTAGATAATTTTCGTCATCAAAAAGAAAATTATTATTCTCTAGTACAATTCTAAGTCCTTCTAAGATGAAGTTTGCGGGAAATCTATCGTCGATTTCTTCCGGATATTTATCCAACCAATATTTGATTGCCTCAATTCCTAAATCATGCGTAATATTAGTATATAAGCTGGTAACATCAAAACTAACAAGCAGTGTATCTCTTGGTACTGTTTGTGGAATATAATTAAGGAAATCCATATCATCACGAACATAACTGGTCACTTTGGTGCACAGTGGTTTTAAGATTATATCTAGCAGATTGCTTAATCTTTGTGTACTAGATGCAGGTCCTGCAATGATGGGCCTCAGTTTAAGATCATTTGGTCTAGGAAGTTTTATGTACGTAGAATTACATTTCTTGACATTTTTCTGGATTTCTTTACATTTGTGTATTTTGGGAAGACCATAAAAATGGCTAGTTTTAACTTCAAAGTTCGTAAGGTATTCAATTTCGTTTTTCGTGAGGTTACTTTGAAACTTCTTTGTGAGGTTTGTTATTTTAAGCATAGATTGCCGATCCTGATTTTGCTCTAGTTTCTTATAGAACTGATTATCCTGGAGTTGAGATAGGGACATTTCTTTATAGTGTTCTCTGTCCATAATTACTATAGCTCCTCCTTTATCGGCGCTTTTGATAACAATTGTTTGGTCTCTTTTAAGATTTTGCATTGCTTGATATTGATTATGAGGAATATTTGATGTTACCTTTTTATCCGCTATGTTGGATTGAGCTGCCTTTCTAAGACATGAGATATAATCCTCCAAATGTTTATCTCTATTAAGCGGTGGCTTAAAACCCTTCTTATTTTTAACTAGAGATATATCATCATTGGTTTGATTTTGAAAGAATTCCTTCAAGCGTAATTTTCGGCAGAATTCTTCTGTGTCCGTGACGACATCAACCTTCTCAGACTTCGGCGTAGGCGTGAATTTTAAACCATGTTCTAAAAGTTTTATTTCATCACTATTTAAGTCTCTTTGTGATAGGTTGATAATTTTGGGTTCTGTAGAAACTATGTTCTCTGTGTTTTCAGGACAGTTAATTATTTCTTTCGTTTCGTTTGAGTCCAACCCTGTCCTAAAAAAGAATTCCTGGAATTCTGTAGTGACTTATTCCTTATGTTTTTCTGAGTTGTCCTCTGTTTAAAGGAAGAATTCCTAGCATTTTGATATGTCTCTTGTGTTGAGTTTCTCCAAGAGTTTTTATGGTTTGCTTCATTGGGTGCAGTTCTTCCCTTTGCAGTGAATCTCCTTCGATCAATTCTGTGTTGATCGCGTTCTCTGTTTTGAACATACCTAGGGTATTGTTCTGAAGACTTCTTTGAATTACTTTGGGGTCCATGGTGTGGTATTCCTCTTCTCAGTACTTCCGCATATGATAGACGTTTTGAGCTACTTTCTCCGTTTCTGGTAGTAGATCGATGTTCAGTACGTCGATTATTGTTCCCCTTATTATTTTCTTGTTTGTTTCTTAATGTTGGTGTTCTTTTAATCTTTTTAGGCTTTGTTGGTTCTTTCCCATAGTTGATCTCATATTGTTTCAACCATGCAGATTTTGATTCCAGTATCTTCTTGGATTTTTCCTCTTCCCGAGTAACATCGTTATTCCATAACTCCATCAGTTTTTTACAAACGTTGCCACTACTTCTTTTGTTCAATTCCTCTAACATAATGGCGTCAGTATTTTCATACTTGTTTTTGTATTTCGGAACTCGGAGACGAAGCAGTGTAATTTCAGCTTCAAATCTTTGAAGTGCCAAGTTGATCCGGATTTTGGTTTCTTCACTAGGTTCTGTTGTTATTTCCTTAACTCGGAATTTTCTAGGAAAAATAACATTTTCACTGTTTTTCCATTCCTCGTAGGTGTCGGCTAAATTTTCGCTTCTTATGGCATTCCAATAAAACTCCAACATAGCGGATAAAAAGGTAACATCAAATATTCCTCATAATCAATATCAAGCAATGCAAAATCTTAAAAGAGACCAAACAATTGTTATCAAAAGCGCCGATAAAGGAGGAGCTATAGTAATTATGGACAGAGAACACTATAAAGAAATGTCCCTATCTCAACTCCAGGATAATCAATTCTATAAGAAACTAGAGCAAAATCAGGATCGGCAATCTATGCTTAAAATAACAAACCTCACAAAGAAGTTTCAAAGTAACCTCACGAAAAACGAAATTGAATACCTTACGAACTTTGAAGTTAAAACTAGCCATTTTTATGGTCTTCCCAAAATACACAAATGTAAAGAAATCCAGAAAAATGTCAAGAAATGTAATTCTACGTACATAAAACTTCCTAGACCAAATGATCTTAAACTGAGGCCCATCATTGCAGGACCTGCATCTAGTACACAAAGATTAAGCAATCTGCTAGATATAATCTTAAAACCACTGTGCACCAAAGTGACCAGTTATGTTCGTGATGATATGGATTTCCTTAATTATATTCCACAAACAGTACCAAGAGATACACTGCTTGTTAGTTTTGATGTTACCAGCTTATATACTAATATTACGCATGATTTAGGAATTGAGGCAATCAAATATTGGTTGGATAAATATCCGGAAGAAATCGACGATAGATTTCCCGCAAACTTCATCTTAGAAGGACTTAGAATTGTACTAGAGAATAATAATTTTCTTTTTGATGACGAAAATTATCTACAAATCAAAGGTACTGCCATGGGCACCAAAGTCGCCCCTACATATGCTTGTTTAGTTATGGGATTTCTAGAAGAAAAACTTTACACTATTTTACCGGAAACCTTTGATCTGGACTTTACGCAGTACATTAAAGAGAATTGGAAAAGGTACTTGGATGATCGCTTCATCTTTTGGACAAGGAGTGAAGAGGATCTTAGAAAATTCCATTCGGTCATTAATGAATTACACGATTCAATTAATTTCACAAATGACATGAATCGTGATTCACTTCCTTTTCTAGATATACTCATAATAAAAAACGGAGAAGATATTTCTACAGACCTATTCCTGCCATCCGTCACATACAAAAAGGAACATTCCATACAATATGGCCAGACGTATTTGTGCCATTGTGACCGAGCCTACTCTACGCTTGAAAAGACTCCAAGAATTAAAACAACACCTGAGGCGACAAAACTATCCAATAAACCTTATTGAGGACGGAATCAACCGGGCAAAAGACATACCAATAACCAAATTAAGAAAAAGTCGCCATCCAGAGGAAAACGACGTAGAGAACATCCCATTTGTGATAACTCATAACCCACGTAACCACAATATTCTAAATTCAGCGTAACGATTTTTTCCAATATAAGAATAATCTGAAAACATGAAAAATCTTCTGGACAAATCGTCAATAATTAACAGCAGAAGACAAGCACCAAACCTGAGGCGGATTTTAACCAAAGCGAAATTTTCCTCTAGCAACCAGAGAGTCGTCAAAAAGTGTGGTGACCCCCGATGTGGAACGTGTGATTTCATTCAGGAGGGCGAACATATTACACTTAAAAACGGGAAAATTTTAAAACCAAATACCAGTATGAATTGTAAATCTTCAAATTTGATTTACTGTGCAATATGCCCTACCTGTGGAGAACATTATATAGGGCAGACAAATCAACTCAACGCACGAGTTAGGGTTCACAAACAACATATAAGGGACGAAACTGTCAGATGCACCCCATGTTCAGAACATTTTGCTGAGTGTGGTAAAGGAAAATTTAAGATTTTCCCGTTCTACAAAATGTGGACATCGGATGAAAGCGCCCGTGTAACCAAAGAGGACTATTTTATAAGACTGTTTAATCCAAAACTAAATCGCAAATGATAGATTATGTGTTCACAGATTTTATATTATTTCTATGCTTTAATTATACATTGTATTTTAACTGCGTTGAAAAAGTTCATGTAGCCGCTACCACAAACTTCATTGTGACGTCATAATACCTAAGATTTTTACGACGTCATTAGCAACGTTATTGGCAACGTTTTGAACTTTTCATAACTGTCTGAAGAGCCAACATGGCTGAAAGCGCTAACAGTAAAGATTTTATTTAATTTGGACTGTAGCATTCTGTTTTCATTTATTTAAGTATATATATATATATATATATATATATATATATATATATATATATATATATATATATATATATATATATATATATATATATATATATATATATATATATCATTTTTGTCACACCCAAGTACATCACAATGACAATGTTGAATACGTGTGCTCAGGTAGAATCCCTGAAGCAAAATACATTGAACCATGAGCAATGCTTCAGCTTATATAGGGGCTGGAAAAGGACAGTCTTGAGAAAACTAATATGGCAGACCAAGATAACTCTCTTCCTTTTAGGAATCATGTTCAGCTTTTATTAGTATCAAATTTTAAGACACAAACTAACGTATAGAATTTGAAAGAAAATTTTTCACTAGATTTTAGGTGAGGGCTTTTATATTTCACATTAATGTTACTTTTCAGATAACAATGAACTTCTGCAATTTTGTAAAAGTCCTTCTTGCTCATTCATCAAAAGACAAAGCTGCAATTGCCTGGTGGGAAAAAGATCACAAGAACAAGGATGACACAATTCCTACGGCTTATGTTAATAACTTCACTCTCTCGACAAGACTTGAAAATTATAGAAAGTTTGTCAAAAACATACCAAAAATGCAAATTGATCCTGCCCACTTTCAATATTCAATAGGGCGAATCCAGGAATATTTCAGGTCATCCAAGTACTGGAAAAATGCAAATAAAACTGATGAAAGAAGAAAATTCCTGGAGTACTTTTCAATAAAGAAATGGCACTTCTTACCACTCTCTGAAAAAAGTAAACACCAGTTGCAAAACTGTGCCCCTTGCCAGTCAACGTGTTTAAACGCATCATCCTTACACAGCTCTACCTTGAAAGAAAATCAAGATATAATAGAATCTGTGAAAAAAATTGCAGTATCAGCTTCTACTAATACCAAAACAAAAGAACAAGCAGCAATGAAAATTATTAACACCCTGGATCCTACCATTACGGAAGAGTTTGGCATGTCCTTTAAGGATATAGTTAAGAGAAGGTATTCCCTAGATGACAAAAAATCACCAGAAACAAAAAGTAAAAACCTCAGTAACCAGAGAAGCCAAGAAATTAATAACTACCACTTTAGAAGCGCAGGACCTCCAGCATTTCTTGGCAAGTGGAAAATCTTTTAAGAAGCATGACAGAGAGAGGTTGATGGTCACACACATGTCAACAGAAGACTCGAAAGCTGAACAAGAAACAAGAACTGAAAAGGAAAAGGTGGGAAAAGTCAAAGTTAAGCCACACCATGGACGGTTTGAAAGATATTCCTTTGACAAAAAAGAGTTTCTCAATGACATCAAGAGTACTCCTGAAGGCAGTCTTGTAAACTGGACAGAGAAGGCACGAAGGTACAATGTGCGAATCAATGGAAAATTTCCTTTAAATGCAGGTCAAGTTGTAGCACAGTTTGCAAAAGAAAATGGTATAGAGATAAGGAAATTCAACACCAAATTTCAAGCAACTCCCAACAACAAAGACTACAGGAGAAGAATTCGTAGAATCAAGAAAAAAATTGGAACAAGGGTGTCAGTTCCTACTCCCCGATCAAGTAAAAAGTTGAGAAGAGAGATGAAACAGAAAATAGACAGCGGAGAAATCTACATGGGAGAAAAAGTCACACCAAAGATATCTAAAACCCATACCATCAATAAAGAAGGATCACTTGAAGAGAAAAAAACTGTAATTTATGGAAGAAAAATGCCACTCAAGAAAATATTCGATGAAGAGACGAAACGCCAGGAAGATCTTAAGATACTTCGATTACATCCTGAGCACTATTATGATAATTTGCAAGAAGATGAGGCAGAAGGCATTTTAAAACAGCTAAGTGAGACAACTCGAGACAATGGAAGCAACAGAAAGAAACTAAAACAGTTACAAAGGGTTCGGCATGTCAAACTTCGGCACGACCATTCAGATCTTCTAAACCGATCATATGTAAGTAATATGGTGTCTTTTATCTATGACCCTGCTATTTACCTTACAGATAGCGAGTACTCAGAGCTTTACAATGGACAAAAAAAAGCACTGTTCAGAGTCTGGTGGAAAGGCCTCGTCTTTATTTACTTGGACAATCTCCAAGCACAGACGCAGATCAGCTTTCATACACGCAAACAAGATTAGCAGACCTTCCAGAATGCATCACCTCAGTTACCAGCCAAGGCATTGTACTGACCAATAAGATCAGGGTCTTCAGTGGAGATGGGCCTGCTAGACAGTTCGAGTCTGGTCAGCAGCGTGGTGGCCATTACCCGTGTATCTGTGGAATTCATGCAAAAGAGCATACAAACCTCGAGTGCTGTTTCAGGAAAGAGCCCATATCTCTTGAAGATCGGAGGCTTCTGATAACAAGGGGTATTCTATGGAGGAAGTTTAAAGATGGCCTCATAAATCCTTTTGCCAACCTCAGCAAAGATGAGCTGGTTGAGGAGTTGGAAGCAAGGAATGTCGACACTTATCAACTTAAGAAACCTGAGCTCCAAGACAAACTAAACAGCCTCCTCCATGGAATACAAAGACCTCCAGCTCTCATGACTGATGACTTGCTGAAAACTTCCCAAGATCTAGGAGTTCCTGATTATGAGGTACTTGGTTGTGAGCCTCTTCACGACATTACTAACGTCGTTCAGAACATGATTACAGAACTTCAACATCACATTGAAAATAAAGAAGTTCGAAAGGAGTTTGAAAATTTCTACAATTCCACCATTGCAGAAAAAAAAAACCAAATCAAAGGCTCAGATGCTAGACTATATGCAATCAAGTTAGCTAAATTCACTGCAAACAAACTGCTGGAAAACAAAGTTGAAGAAAACATTTTCAATTTGGTATCATCTCTGGTGGAAATTATCAAAATTGGTTACAGCCCTGATCATGCAAGAACAAAACGAAACATTCTTAGGCTCTACAACCAAACCTTTATCTTTGCCGTCCTCTGCAAGACAATAATTGCAACACCACAAAAAATGACATCCAGGAAGTTTTATGGTGCTCACTACCACAGCCTGACTACTCATGCATCTGATGTTTATCGACTGTTCTGTCTGCGATCGATCATTCCTGAACAAGAAGAAAGGGGATTTGGGGACCTACGCCAAATATCTGAGAACACAAGTAATCGACAGGCAGAGTACGTCATTGACAATGCCGTCATGAGATTCAATGCACAGCAACAAAATGAATGCAGAGAAGATGCACTTGCCATCCAGGAATCAGTCATCAGTCAACAAGGAAAGTTGTTACCACCTTCGAAGAATAGTTTAATACCTAATGAATGGCTTCATTCCAAATCCTCCCTTGTTCAAAGTCATTTGGAAAGGATTTCTGATTTCGTTATTGACCAGCAATGGTGGACAGAGACCAGTAGTGGCTTGGAGTTTCATGATGGTCCTTTGGAAACTCCATGTTCCAATAAACCTACCAGTCATTATCGTTCAACCTCCTTGAAACAAGAACACCAGAGAGTGAAGGGCATCTGGCAAACAGTGGTACAAAGATTCAAGGCGGGTGAAATCAAGATTCCACTGAGACGCATCGAAGTCTACAACAAAGCAGGCAGAATGGAATTCTGTTATCCCCCAACAGGTAGAAATCTACACCACAATTCATCTTCTTCTTTTTAAAAATTAATAATTTATGTATCTGTTACTTACTGTAAATATCTTTTTCTAGGATCTGCTGCTAAAAATGAAACAGCTTCAAACCTGCCAATGACTGCTGAGCATGATCTTTCTAGTATGGAACCTTTATATGGTAATTAAAATAAAATAGAGTTTACGTAATTAAGATTCAGACATTGTTTTTTTTAATTTTTTCTGTTAAATAGATTATTAAACTAGAGGCTCATTGGCCACAATGCTCATTTGAGTGACTAAGGCCCTTCTGTTTTTCATTGGCAAATTTTTTCCCTATTTATTCCTCCATTAAATCTTTTATCTCCTATTGTGACCTCTCCCTACCCCTTAGGGTCATGATTTGAACAAACTTGAATTTCCAATACCTGGGGATGCTTCCATATCAATATGACTAATCATAACTTTGCTGTTGGTCAAAAGATTTTTATTATAG